ATGTGGAGGACATTTCCAAATTCAACACATCAGTCGCAAAACTGATGTCCGATGCAATTCCCTATTTTGAACTTGTACCACATGTTCCCGTGTTTTGTTCAGGTGAACAATTGACTTGACTTTGCATGTGTTTGTGACTGACGCGACCGGTTGGGTAGGATATGCTCACCTTTTCATGAACACCTGGTATCGTTACTAAATCCATGATTCATAAACACACATGTTCATGATATGGTCGGATCGTACAATCGAGATTTCTATTGGAAATGGAAAGGGTTTTGTCGCTTTATTTCACTGATGTTTTTTTATAAGCAATGTGAATTCAAGCAAAGTCTTTGGCTTAGTGAATGACACTTTTACTTCTAACAAAATGTCACGAAAAGACAGAAAGCTGTATGCTGTAGAGAGAAATTTTGTCAAGATTGACAGTGGCACCAGAGTTATCCCTCTTGTTATACAGTCTTGTGGAGTGTTTTGTCAATCTGAATTTGTATGCATAGATCTAAATATGAAACAGGTGATGCGTAGGTCAGTGGTCTCCTTTATTTCTAATTCAGGTGGGTAAATCAGTGGAAGGGAATTGGCTATTTGATGGTTATTGAACGAAAGCAGTTCATCCATATACCTGAAGCTTAAGTCAAATTTTTTTACCAACTTATCCTGTTTTGACTTTGCCAATCCGAACAGAAATTCCGATTCCTATGCATAAAGAAACGGATCAGCTAGAAGGTCAGAATAATTGGTGTCCATGGGGATGCCTGTTTCTTGCCAAAATGTCTAACCCCAAATTTAACAAGTTAAACTCAAATTCAAATTCACTTTATTACAGTTTCAGATCATTTACAGTGACCTTATGAAGTGTTCCATGAGTACAAATTTGACTTGGGGGTGGTACTGACAGGTGAAGTTGTGTACATGATAGTCTACTTAATCAACAGCAACAGTTATTAGACAATGATATTACATCATGGTTTTCAAAATAATAACAGTTATTTGTAATAACATTTGTAATTCTGATTCAATTTTAACATTCGAAATGAACTTTAATTGCATTGTTTTAAATTTACTGAAGGTGTCAATAGCTGGGGAAAAGGACTTAATAAAAAGTTTTCAAGTCTACAATGTTATATGAAGGGAAATAAATTAATGGAGGTTTTGGCAGGTGTAGGTGTGTACATGATATTCTACCTCATCAACAGCAACAGTTGTTAAACAATAATATTACTTTATGGTTTTCGAAATGCAGTTATTTGTAATTCTAACGCGTTATCAGTTTTCAAAATGACATTAACACATTAACTTTAGGTATTACTAGATACTTGGTATAAGGGTATCTAATCCATCGGTCCTTCTCAACAGATCTTTGATTACATGGTCGAGACACTACAGAAGTTATAATCAGCTGAGATGGTGGCGGTGGTGAGTATGGTTTTACGCCGCTTTTAGCAATATTCCAGCAATATCACGGCGGGGGACACCAGAAATGGGCTTTACACATTGTACCCATGTCGGGAATCGAACCCGGGTCTTTGGCGTGACGAGCGAACGTTTTAACCACTAGGCTACCCGACCGCCCCAGCTGAGATGGACTTATTAGATAGTGTTGGTGTGCATAATAGCCAACAACATGAACAGTGTCGGTTTTCAAACAATGATAATACTTCATAGTTTTCAGAATAGTTATTCCTTATAACCTTTACAATTCTGACACACGGCACACTATTCATGTTAAAAATTAAATTTAACTCATTCGCATCAAGGCTTACTATATATTACTATATATAGGTATATCTAATGTATCTGCCCTTCTCAACTGGTAATCTTCCATTGTATGTTCTAAACTGTATAGATTGTATAAATAGCTGAGGCGGGAGACTTAGTAAATAGTCTTCAAGTCTACAATGACAAATGAAGAATAAATACGAATATAAATAGCAGATAGCACGCCCAGGTGGGTATGTACAATGCATTATTCTTAATATATCAGCAGTAGTTGTTAAACAATATTACCTTATTAAAATTACATGATAATAGCAATGGAACGTGATAACATTTGTAATTGTAATACATTATGAGTGTCCAAGAGGGGCGGTCGGGTAGCCTAGTGGTTAAAGCGTTCGCTCGTCACGCCGAAGATCCGGGTTCGATTCCCGACATGGGTACAATGTGTGAAGCCCATTTCTGGTGTCCCCCGCCATGATATTGCTGGAATATTGCTCAAAGCGGCGTAAAACCAAACTCACTCACTCACTCACTCACTCACTCACTAGTGTCCAAGAGACTATTTAATTTAATAACATTAGATCTTGCTATAAACTTAGCATGAACAGATCTAATTCTGTAGGGGGGAAAGTAGGGGCATGTAAGTAATAATGATATTCATCACCCGAATTATTTCTATTGCATCATAAAAATAGTCTCCCATGGCGCGGGAAATGAATCAATCGACCCTTCTCACCTGGTAATCTATGGTTACATAAATAATATATGCATTTGTTATGCTCACAGCGCCTCACTATTATTACCCCAGTCAATGGATCAGTGGGGACTTGATTGTCATTCGCCTTGTCCCTGGGGAGTATGCAACCCAAGCTGCCTGTGAGGCGCTGGAAGGTTTACGGTCACATTTACCCTCCCTTGCTTAACTTAACATGTGACATGTGTGCTCTACACAGGACCACGTGCCACTATGTTCTAAAGTTGAATATCCGGGATTGGAGACTCAGTAAATAGTTTTTAAATAACAGGTATTCTTTGAAGAGCCTGTAAAATATACCTTTAGCAGAATTTGATGCATAAGCAGACCAAAGCTGTTTAAACTGATCCGTAATAGCTTGCTCATTATGTTGGTTGGTTTGTTGTTTAACGCTGCACTCAGCAATATTCCAGCTATATGATGGCGGTCTGTAAATAATCAAGTCTGGATCAGACAATCCAGTGATTGATATCATGAGCATCGATCTACACAATTGGGATCGATGACATGCATCAACCAAGTCAGCGAGCCTGACCACCTGATACCGTTAGTCGCCTAGTGCGACAAGCAAAGTCGCCCTTTACGCCAAGCATGGGTTGCTGAAGACCTATTCTACCCCGGATCTGCTTAGTATTACATATAACCATTGAAGGCTAGGAAAGGATTCATCACTCAACACATAACTTAAGCCAAGGTTATTTAGCGAGAGGTTTATATAGTAAGTCCGCTTATATTAAAACACGTTATCTTGGAAAATTGTTCTAGACAAATACAGTAGATTTAGCAGTTACAAGTTTGGCCCAGAAGAAGATCATTCTCTGCTGTATAACACATGTGATTTGTCGTCTTTCTTGTTCACCACAATGGAGAGTGCTATGCTTTAAATACAAGATACTTTTTATGGATAAGATCGCCTCCATTGCCTCGTGGTAGAGCGCCCGCCCGGAGAGTGGAAGTTCGGGGGCTATGTCCCCGGCCGCGTCATACCAAAAGACGTTAAAAGATGAAACTTGTTGTTACCCTGTCTCGCGATCGGCTAAAACAAGAACTGGTCGGCTCGGAGTCAGTATACTGTGTCTGAGTGGGGTATTCGTGTTAAACTGCGGCATGTTATCTCAGTCGACTAGCAACTAAAATCGGCATTAGTCCGGACTAGTACAAGCAGCCACAGCCACACACACACGCGCGCATGCACGTCGCGATACAAGTGCAACTACTTGAACGCGACTTTAAACTCTACTTCACCTCACCTCACCTTTTATGGATGACTTCTTTTACTTCGTAAGCGTTGTTGTTGTCGCTTTTAGTGCCAAAGAGGTCGCCTTCTGCCTCAGCAACTTCGTGTGACCTGTCTCTTTGAGAGACATGTGTGTGAGAAGGGTACACATATCTATTGTGAGTTTTAGTATTTATAATATATCTGTTCTTGTACCGATAACATTTCTATTTTCGTATTGATTTCGATTTTGAGAAACTGAGAGTTTCTTTGGCTGCTCTATTTATATACATTCGAGTAGCTGACCATCTCTCGGAAATAGAGTTAGTTTGGCCTTTGCTATTTCGTCTTTCGCTTAGGAGATATATGACAGATAGCGAATCAACTGCAATTCGTGTTTTGACCAGCTCGGGCTAGGGAATGGTCTTGACATTCCAGTAACAAGTGAGCAATGGATTCGGGTTGATCGTAAGATACCTTGTCAGAAAGCTTTTTGTGACCGAGCCTGAGACGTTGACTGCTATAACTTTACTTTCCTTCGACTATGAGTATGACAATTAGTGGATCTTGGGGTGAATTTTGCTTTTTATCCCTGGTTTACTGAATGGCATGTGTCTACTTTTTCATTTCCATGAATATCTATGTGAGACGGCAGCCAACACAGCTCCACCTTGTTCCGATAGTATTGTACATTCGTATAGAATATTGTTGACTGTGTTTGGTATAGAATGTTATTCACTGTGTTTGGGACCCGTGTAGATCCGGGGTACAATAGGACTTCAGCAACCCATTTTTGCCGTAAAAGGCGACTAACGGGATCGGGTGACTTGGTTGATGCATGTCATCGTGTCATGTCGTCGATGGATTGTCAGGTCCAGGTACTCGATTATTTACATACCGCCGACATATAGCTGGAATACTGCTGTGTCCGGCGTTAAACAAGAAACAATTAAACATCGAAGTGCGACCACCTTCTTTGGTCAATACGGATTCCAAGTTTTGTTAAATGACGATTTATGTTCGTGGAAAACACTGTGATTATTGAGAACATCATCCACACAACGGCGCTCCCGGAGCTCCGATGAAACCCAACCTGCCACCATCAGCGCCACCTGGTGTCTCTGTACATAGACGTTTTCAATGAGGAAGTCCAGCATTTTATGTATTGGTTTCTCAGTGAACTCATGTGACTAAAAAGAGCGGATTATTAGCATATATATGACTCATTCACATTTAAAAACTTATTATGTTACCAAAAAAAGGCGTTTTTCCTATTGTCCATATATTCATGTCTTATTATTCATGTAGCTGATGCCCCGTGGGGTTACTTTGGTAAGAGAGGTAAGTCCTTTTCTATTTCACTTATTGTTGCCTGTGCGAAGACTGATATTCTCAGTCAATTGATGAAGGTCCTATAAACTATAAAACTGTTTTACATCAGCAGTTTATTTTCAAACAAAGTGAACCATAAAGACGAAGTTGTCACCTTAAGAGGTAAAACAGTATTTTAAACACGTCAGCAACTATGGCTACAACGCTCAAGCAAGAAAGAAATATATCTGTTTTATTATTATTGTTAATCTTCAATAATCTTCAAACATATGTTTAAAATGAACTACTTCATCATATCTGTAACATATACAGTGGTACAACGATCTACATGTCTATATTATTAAGTACTCCTTGTCTATTCAGGACCCAGCCACTGGAACAATGTTAGCGCAACGTGTGAGGGCAGCCAGCAATCTCCTATCAACATCCAGCCAAAACACGCCAAGGTCACGAGCTACGACAGTTTCACAATGCACAATTATGACATAACTAATGTCACTCTCCTCCTGAAGAACACTGGTCATACAGGTGATGCAATGACGTTTCCTTTACAGTCTATTAACGAAAACTGGTTGATGTTAAAGAAGTAAAAAGCAGTACGTCTCTTGGGGTCATGGTCACATAAAATGTACATTTACAGTGCTGGCAGGTGCTCCGTGTCTTGTGCCCAGCATAGATCTGGACGTGAAACATCTTGTGTAGATATAATTACAGACAATATCCTCATGCATACATTCAGGAAACCAAATCATTGGGATACAATATTGTCATGATGAATAACTGGAAACTGACTTTGACACAAGTAAGGGAAAGCAGAATTTTAGAAGATTGAATGTTCTTGCAAGGACTTACAGGTTCTCACCATTGGTATCACATTGTCAAGTAAACTTCCAATTCATCGAACTTATTACGTTTTCTTATTTCTGTGTCTATCTGGCTCTTCCGGCCTATAAAACTATTCATTATGTGCATGTTCTGTTTGTTTGTTGTTTAAAGCCACTCTCAGCAATATTCCAGCTATATGATGGCAGTCTGTAAATAATCGAGTCTCGACAAGACAGTACACGTAGTATACAACTGTTTGAACAGCTTGGGAGATGGTGAGAATATGCCATCAGTACGTCAGTCCATGTGAACTCTCACATTTTTTAAATCATCAAGTACAATACCTTCGAAACTGAAAATATGCGTAGATATGTGGTTTCTCTTAAACCTAAGTACAGAAGTCTCATCTGGGCAACGTCCACAGCAGCCATAATAAAAATGTCTTTTTGGCCAATAACACATTCGTTCTGCATGCATCTTTATAGTGCCACGTGCATATTATTTGTGATCTGCCCCAAAATACATTTGATATGTTGTTGTGTTTTGTGATATGTGAAACTTTCGTTTGTGTGACCCCCTACACAGCAAGTTATGCATAAATTAAATAAAGTCGTAGTTTAATGAACATGATGCAAGGAGGTCATGCAGAAATTTAAATGAGCAGGAAAGCCTTGTTGCTGTATTTTCTTTATCACGTCAGTTTCTGTCAGGTATGGTCTGTTACTATAAATCGCCACAGACCATAACCAGTCTCGATTATACACCGAAACAGTTTCCAAGGGTCGTAACAGGCAAAATAGCGGTAAAAAATATATGAATGGGTCACTGAAAATCAGTGATGACACTAGATGTTGCGAGAAGGATAAGCACGTCTTGCATATCAGCATATTTTTGTGAAGAAATGGTATATGATGGAAAGAGAACGATCAGTTTCTCATGCTTCGTTCTGCAGCCCAGATGGATATCTCCGGGGCAGCTCTTAGTGTGTCGGGGGGCGGTCTGAGCGGAGATTACACAACTGCCCAGCTGCACTTTCACTGGGGTAAAAGAAACTTTAAGGGGTCAGAGCACACGTTGGATGGGAAAACATTTCCCATGGAGGTAGGCAAACAGCAATCCTGCACTTTGTAATATCAGCATTCTTTGACATATTCAATCAAATGGCATAAGTGAAGAGGTGATGTGTTCTGAAATCAGTATATGTACTCACGTCCGATCTCATTGGTTGCATCCTATGTATACTTGTATTTATCATATAATGGGTAGGTTTCTCGGCAGGATAAAGCCAACGGATAAAAACGATATCCGTTGGGGTCATATGCGGATAGAGATGCAAATATCAAAGGTCAAGTAGGGACTACTTTCAGTGTTTATAAACAAACATGGCGTCGCCCTCGTCATTCGGCGATCGAGTCAGAATTAACAATCGGGAATCTGGATAAACTACAGGGATAATTGCTATCATTATCAAAAGAATAGTCTAATATACTGAAAATCAGTGTCTAACTGTGACGTAGCTAAGGCATTTTATAAGTTTTGGCAACTTTGGAGATATAAATTTCGAAACAATTTAGCGAGGGCACGAGGCCTAGCCAAGCGGGATCAGTAGCCATATCTGTGCCTGTAGACATCTGCGGCTTGAAACCTTCTCCACAAATTAGAATAGTTGGATTTGGCCGAAATATGTTTGAATTGTTACCTTGTTTCGTTTTGTCGCTGTGTGTACATCTGACTACACTTCTTAACGTTTTGACATGACAGACCGACTGTCAAAAACGTCTGACCGTGGCCGTGACGTCTCATAGACTAGGGTTAGAGTAGCTTCCCTTTGACAAAGGGCAGTTACTCTAGCGGACAGACCGATGGATTGCCGCGAAAGGCGATTAAAAACAATTGTTGTTTTGCGTATATGTTGCTTCGCCACTGTATAAGAAACAGATTTCAGTTGGAACTATATTGGCTACTGTCACTGTCCGATAGACACATCACTTACCCTGTGACGTAATAAATATTAATGCGCGCATTCCAGGAAAACTCGCAATGTTTCGGTAATGTTTGTGACAGAGGGAAAGCGATTTTGAAACATAGAATTAAAGAATGACATTATATGATAAGAGGTTATCACGCTTGTGTGTTTGGGAATGGTAAATATCCTGTATTAGGAATAAACACTATGTATTAAGCTCTCTAAGGCTCGCTAAATACAATGTGTATTCCTAATGCAGGATATTTACCATCCCCAAACACACAAGCGTGATAACCTTTATCTGCGAACATTCATAAAAAAACACGACACTTGATGCTAAGTGATTTGAGTAGTGGCATCCCTGTTTGCTGGAATTAAATGTTCCCTTTTCAAATGATTGATCCCTAACTTGCTACTCTGCTGACCTGTGATCCAACCATCTTGTTCAGAAGACAGGTGTCCAAAGAACACACTTCGTTACTTTTTTTTCAATAAAATGAATGAGCTACAAAATATATGAAAAAAAGAAAAATGAAATGCTGATCTCAAACCAAAATCCCGGTCAAAAGTCAAATCTAACCAAAATATCAATGATGTGTTGTTTGAAGAAGTTGCTGATCGCAGTTGGTGTTACTCAGCATTATGTTTTCAGATGCACATTGTTAACTACAAGACAGCATATGGCACTTTACTGGACGCAGTGGATAAGGCTGATGGCCTCGCAGTTTGGGGCTTCTTCTTTGAGGTAATATTTCTCACTCACAACTATGCTCTTCGTTATAATAATAATGACAATAACAATAACAATAATAATAATGTAATGTAGATTATGCAATTGATTTTATGAGACTGTCCAACACATTGTCAGTCGATGCCCAGCCTTGGCACAAACACAGTATCTTAAGCGACATGATTGAGTAGCTCGGTTATCGTCTTCACCATGCTTGTAGTTTTGACTCATAGGTTCATCCATGGTACGACCTAGAATATGTAGAGGGTGTCATGGAAAATGATAAATACAAATTTCTTTGAGACAGGCCCGTATATAGTCTCAGACCTATCCAGGCTAACAAACCTGATCTTGTCCTTTTTGATAAATCCCATGAAATCATTTATATCATTGAATTTTCTGTCCCTTTTACATTAATGTGATTGACAAGATTCAGGAAAACATGGCAAATATGCGGATCCCGCGTCCCAAGTACCAAGTTGTCCGACTCCACATTGTTCTCGGTGCCTTAGGTTTGGGTGAGTGAGTGAGTATGGTTTTACGCCGCTTTTAGCAATATTCCAGCAATATCACGGCGGGGGACACCAGAAATAGGCTTCACACATTATACCCATGTCGGGAATCGAACCCGGGTCTTTGGCGTGACGAGAGAACGCTTTAACCACTAGGCTACCCGACCGCCCCCCCCCCCCCCCCTTAGGTTTGGAATCTTCCAATCTGTTGACTGACATTGGAAGAGTATCCGGGTTTGCTACCAGGAATACAGCCCTTCTGATAATTTTGTTATTGCAGAAGGCTACAGTGTTAGGGAGTCTTCACATTCTCCGAAAAGTTCTGGCTGGGTTTGACTAGGCAAAGGGAGAAGTGTCTGGGCTGCATGTAGAGGGGGCCAAGGGCCCTCGGGTGATGATAAGCCTAACCAGCCTGACTGTGCCAGGATCACCCAAACCCTCTTTGCTGTATTTAGTTATTTTGATCTGTACATAATAATAATAATAATAATAATAATAATAATAATAATAATAATAATAATAATAATGTCGGACCTTGTTTACGAAATGTCACGTTTGCATCCCAAGTACGAAGTTGTCGGAGTCCCCATTGTTCTCGGTTCCTTAAGTTTGGTACCTCTTAATCGCTTGACTATTATAGATGAAGATGTTGTACGTACCTAATCAGTTCGAGACACCCTATATCCGACGTTTCTGCATGCCACTGCATGCATACACCATGGCCTAATGCTATTAAGAAAAGGTGACCTGTCTGCATAAAAACCCCTCAGTGACATATATTTTCACGACGTTAACGCGCAGAATCAAATTTCTAAATTCATTTTCAGGACTGAAGGTTGTGTACAACCACATGTTTAAAGTGTAAATAATTGTTTGAATCTGAAAGTTGTGTTATTTATGCCTCCAAGTACATTAATGAATGAGAGAGTATGGTTTTACGCCACTTTCGGCAATATTCCAGCAATCTCACGGCGGGGGACGCCAGAAATGGGCTTCACACATTGTACCAATGTCTGGAATCGAACCCATTTAGAATCAGCGTTAATCGAAGCTTTCAATAAAATAATAATTGATTGTTTGTAGATGTGTATCAGTCAGTTCAGATTCACCACTTGATTGTGTAAGCCACTATTCCTGTCAGTGGATGCACGAAATACATAATTATCTGTCACTCAGTTGTAATGATAGCTGGCATAATAATAATCTTAATCTGCCTTACTCCCGTGGGATTCCGGGTTAGAATTTGTTCACGGCAACTTATGCTGGTCGTACCAGGCGACTTAATAGATAGGTTTGGCAAACTCGGTGACTTGGTTCATAGGTTGTCGTCGACATGGATCGTTGCTCATAATATCAGTCACTTAATTGTTTGGTTTGAACTTCATTACATACATGCCGCGTTCATATAGCTGGGATATTGTTGACCTCGGTGTTAAACAACAAACACACACATACTATCAGCTTGACTATACGTCACTCTCTGTATGCATTATAATATTCTGCTCTACCTCGATTACAGATCGGGGACAGCAATCAGACGGTTCTGGATAACATCATCAATGCCCTGCCTAAGATTGTTGCAGATGGTAAATTTATTCGCAATTTCACTCCATTCATCACACTGACAATTATTGAACCCTGTTTATCCTAAACTGAACTCGAGAGCGAGTTGGTTGTTACGGCCTGGCGAGCGGGGCTTTAGTCACACGCTTTGTTACACTGTGCATCTGCAATTACCCACTTGCAGCGTGTGCAGATCACTACAGCCCGTACCATAACCAGAAGTAAGTCCACAGAGCACATCACACCCGTATTGCAGAGTCTTCAATGGTTGCCAGTTACACAAAGTTCAAGCTGCTCAACATTACCTACAATGCCATTCATGATCCACACTATCCACAATATCTACAAACTCTAATTTCAATTCAATAGCCTATTAGCAGCCTACGCTCTCTCGTTCAAATGTGCTTAACTGTTCCAGGGCACCGTTCCTCAAAGCGATGTCATCTTCCGTTCTCCTTGAAGACTTACCTCTTCAACGTTTTTAGTTGGAATTTATTATTCTAGAATATCAACCGTAAAAAGCCTGCCGTCTGAAAGCCATATGGAAATGGTCCAGATTGTAGTTGTCGGTGTCCTTTCTCAAATTTGATTTTCACCTAGGATTTTGTCAATCAGCTTCATACAAAGTAACAGAGGTACCGGAATTCCCCACCATTCCTAGTATGATAGCCTAAATTTGGTTGCTGGCTATCTACAGCTCATATTTCAACTTGTGTTGTTGGGGCGGTCGGGTAGCCTAGTGGTTAAAGCGTTCGCTCGTCACGCCGAAGACCCGGGTTCGATTCCTGACATGGGTACAATGTGTGAAGCCCATTTCTGGTGACCCCCGCCGTGATATTGCTGGAATATTGCTAAAAGCGGCGTAAAACCATACTCACTCACTCACTCACTCACTCAACTTGTGTTGTTGAGTAATTGTTTCCTCTCTTAAATTTTCTAAACAAGTTTTAAAAATATGAAATGTGACATGTTGCTAGTTATTGTACTGCTCGTAGTTGACATGTTTCAATGTATTATTATTCAAGTATAACATTGTCCAGTCACGATAGGGCTGAAAAACTGTCGATGAGACGATGCATTTAACTCTTTCACTCACTCAGTTTCATTAAAAACAAACCATTCTTGTCACTTTACTACATGTTCAGATAATTAAACAGTGTATGGTTTGCTTGTAGGCACAAATACAACACTGTCACCTTTCAAGCTTGAAGACCTTCTTCCTTCCAACGTCAAGAACTTCTACCGCTATGCTGGCAGCGTGACATCACCATTCTGCAAGGAATCCGTGATATGGACTCTCTTCACGGACACCATTAACATCACTGCCGCAAAGGTAGGTCATTGTCAGTGATAATAATGATCACTATCATTATCGCCATCATCATAATATTCTTCACAATTGTCACATGGACTGTTTTCATTGATGGAGGTAGGGTAGGACATGCTGTCCTATCATCAGGACATCATCATCCTCTTCAAGGTCGACCACATCAGCACATCACCGCCACTGCATGGTCCTCGCGGTTTCCAAACACATATGCGGCGTCTAAGTTGGAGTGGTTGGTCAGGCTCGGTGACCATTCGTGACCAACTCGTGTTATTCCGAGACAAGCCGAATAGCGACTCGTGCCCCTCTCATGGCCATTTTTGCGACCGGGTTCCGTCTTAGCGCAAACGGGCATACCTAAAACAATTGTCAACTCGTTGCGTAATGGTTCACATATATTTCCCCATATATTTTATATATTTCAGATGCAATTTAAAGCACATCGGGACGTGCGGAATTATACAGTATGACTGAACACATTTAACTGTGTCTTGGGTATAATTTTAGATGCAATACATATGTAAAATCACAAATTATTTCTGAGGGATTATTTGACAAAGAACTCGAAATCATACGCGCATTCTGATTGGTTTGTCGTATTTTCGCACATAACATTCATCGATAGGGGGACGAGTCTTCTTTCAGGTTACGGAAAGGGGCGAGTGGTGACGAATGGCTCGGTGACTTGGCTCCTTGCGGTCCATCGTTACCGTCTTTCCCCGCTAATTTATTATAGGTAGAACACTTCTCACATACATGACATGGATCCCCTTCAATATAGTTTACCATCATCATCTATTGTTAATCTTATGTCTGTCTTGATTCAATCAGGTACCATGTGATTTCCATTTGCGGCAGCCTTTTGTTAATTTCGTCTCAATATAGAAATGTCGATCCCATGACATCCAATGGAAAAATAGCGATGTTACCAGCTCTGATAAAAGCGGACAGTTACCACTGAGACAGTTGGAACATTCCGAGTAGATTGATTTGTGATTTGGATTTGTTCATCTTAACTTTCTACACAAGAACGCACATTGTCAAAATAATGAGTGTGTGCTGCAACCTGATTGGTTGAAAACAAGTTGCTAAATGGGATTTCAGTCCCAAACATGAAATTAACAAAGGTCAATGCCAACGGATATTTAGTCTCAATTATTTGCCGAAATAAATATCAAAGAATAAAAGGCATTCGGAGTGACGAAATAGCTATCCTGCTGAATTAACATTACGTTTGATAAATATTTATCAGAACAAAATCCACCGTAAAAAGTTAAGGTTAGGTTAAGGTCATCGTCTTAACCATGCTCCAGCATATTGTTTATGTATCTAAGCTGAACAATAATTTTTCTCTGTTTAACATAAATGTTTCATGCTTCGATGTTTTCAGATGGAGGAGTTCCGGAAGCTACAAGCTGTCGAAAAGAACGACAATAACGACTACAACATGTATGACAACTTCCGCCCAACACAGAGTCTTGGAAGTCGAGTCGTCTACTCCAGCTTCGAACCCAGCTTCGAACCCAACGCTGCTGAACGTCAATACTCCCCTATATCAGTGTCCCTCCTCGCACTTGCATCATTAACTCTGTCACACATGATCTAGTTGTGTGAGAAACGGTAGGCGATGTATCCAACATCTGTCGGTTATGTCCCTTTATTGCCAGGATCCGCTAGTGGGGATTCAAACTTTACATCCTCTCTATTATATTTCTTGGTCTGTCCACTGTTTCATCATCATGTATTAGTTTGGCCTGTCTTTCAGTTTCTAGCTGACGCTCCGTTATTAAACTGCAGTACCGTGTTTGTTCTTCTTTCAACAGATTTGTTCCATTTTGTTTGCTGTTTAAGGCCGAACTGAGCAATATGGCGGCAGTTTGTAAATGCATGAACGAGACTCTGAGAATCCACTGATTGATATCACGAGTATTTGGGATACGATGACATACATCAACCAAGTCTGCGGGTTTGATCACTGGATCCACGGGTTGCTGAAGATCAATTCTAACACCGAATTTGTACGGTGTTTCTGAAAAATATTTATCAAACGTAATGTTAATTCAGCAGGATATCTATTTCGTCACTCCAAATGCCCTTTAATCCTATGATATTTCTTTCGGCAGATAATTGTGACTGATTATTCCCTTGCGTTGGCCTTTGTATATTTCTTATTTCGGACTGAAATCCCATTTAACAACTTGTTTTCAACCAATCAGGTTGCAGCACAGACTCATTCTTTTAACAATATGTGTTCTTGTGTACCAAGTAGAAAGTTAAGATGAACAAATCCATCGAGTTTTTCTGCTCGGAATGTTCCAACTGTCTCAGTGGTAACTGCCCGCTATTATCAGAGCTGGTAACATCGCTTTTTTTCCATTGGATGTCATGGGATCGACATTTCTATATTGAGAAGAAATGAACAAAAGTCTGTCACAAATGGAAATCACATGGTACCTTACTGAACATGCTAACTTATTTCCAAAAGTAAAATCATACTATGCCGTTGAGCTAATGTTACTTTTACAACTGCTTCTTCTAACACATACTTTGATACACACTGTAAGGCGCACGTAAAATGACGTTAATTTAGTACAAGATAAGACACTCGTACTGTACCCACATGAATAGGAATTCCGGAAATGTTTGCGTGGATGGTTGCTCAAACTGTGCCACAGTGTGAGCGAATGAATTGTGTTGTACGCTGTTGTTGGCAAAATTCACGACGGGGACACCAGGTATAGGCGCCACACATGGTTCCCATTGCACTAATATTGGAAACAGAACCTGAGTCTTGGGTGTGAGGACCGCCTCCGTGGTCTAGTGGCAGAGCGTCCGCCCGGAGAGCTGAAGGTCCGGGGTTCGATCCCCGGTTCGCGTCATACGAAATGACGTTAAAAGATGGTACTTGTTGTTACCCTGTCTGGCGCTCGGCATTAAGGGGCTAAAACAAGGACTGGTCGGCTCGGAGTCAGTATACTGTGTCTGAGTGGGGTATTCATGTTAAACTGCGGCATAGTATCTCAGTGAGCTAGCACTATAAATCGGCATCAGTCCGGACTAGTACAAGCAGCCACACAAACACACACACGTACATGCACGTCGCTATATAAGTGCAATAATCTTGGACGCGACGTTAAACCCCATTTCACCTCACCTCACCTTCGTTGTGAAGAGCGAACGCTTCAACAACTAAGCTACAAAACCACAAAGATCGACGTCTTGATTTGAAGCATATGCTAAGTTGGTAGAACCACAACCAGGGTCGAACAGGGGTGCCCTGCTCGACCACAGACTGCATATTTATTCTGTAGTTAATAATACAGATATATTTATCAAAACAAAGGTGTTGTCAAGTAAACTTATGTCGTGCCGCGGTTTCCGTTTCTGAGATTAGTAATTTCAACATTTCCTCTGTAACTCCGAAGGCCAACGAAGCTGAACCATTGCATGAATGATCCCAGCTATGTTGGCACGATGACATTGCTCACAGAATCTCAGGTTGCTGCGTGTCTCATCCTGAAATTTGATATGCAGGGCCCCAGCCGTGATATTGCTGGAATATTGCTAAAAGCGGCGTAAAATCATATTCCTCACTAACAGATATGCAGGAAGTATGATGTTGAAAAGCGAGAAACGTAATTGGGGCGAACCGGGATTCGGACCATAGGTTTGGGGCGTGCCCAAGAGACGCAACTCTGCACAGCGGCGCCTAAAACATTTTAGTTTTTTTTAAATTTGATAGAGTTGGTAGGTTGGTTTGTTTTGTGATACGCCGCACTCAGCAATATTCTAACTATATGACGGCGGTCTGTAAATAATGGAGTCTGGACTAGACAATCCGGTGATTGACATCATGAACGACATTGAACATCGATCCACGCAATTGGGATCGATGACTTGTATCAACCAAGACAGCGAGCCTGACCACCCGATCCCGTTAGTCGAAATTTAATGGAGCTAATTCGAAATGAATCGTTTCAGTTGTGTACACATGTAACAATTAATCCTTATTTTAACCAACAAATTTCTTATTTTGTCTTTTTATTTAAACAGATGTGGATTGAGGCATGTAGCTTGGCTCTATACTCTTTGAATGTAGCGTCTGGAAACATCGTAGCTATGGCTGGACACAGCAAAGTAACAAACAACTGCTTGAAGTACCAGTATATGAACACAATGAGTATAAAACGAGAAAACAGCATTAGCACTACCCCCCGCCATGGGTTACATTAGAATTTTGTTTGTTCATATAATAGTGAATATAAACTCTAAACAAGAATCCAATAAAGCCTTAAGAAGAGATGGGCACCTGCAAAGCTTTATGACATCCACGAAGTTATTAAACGTGAAATAAATACACACAAAGGGCCCCTTCTCTGGAAAAAAAATAACTCAGCCTTTGATAAGTATCTCTTAGTAAAAGGCGACTATGCTTGTCGTAAAAGGCGACTTACGGGATCTGGTGGTCAGGCTCGCTGACTTGGTTGATGCATGTCATCGTATCCCAACTGCGTGGATCGATGCTCATGATGTCAATCACTGGATTGTCTGTTCCAGACCCGAATATTTACAGATCCTCATCATATAGCTGGAATATTGCTGAATGCGGCGATAAAAAAAATAATGATATTGGATGATACAGATAATGATGCTAACAATAACGACTGCATGGGTGAATTAAATGAACCTTTTACACAAGTAGAAGTGTTTTCCAGTTTGAGAAATATTAAAAGTGGCAAATCAAAACCAACAAGGAACTACATAACCCCGTACTTCTGGGAGAATCTGACAGAGTCTCCGTGTAATATCATAATACAGCCAGAGAGGTTAAGTACTAGTGCAGTTGGATTCAGGATTCAAATACCACGGCATGAATTTCCTCACCAAACTTACAAAATCATTGAATCTATTCCTGGTAAAAACACTTGGGCATTTCATATGAAAATATTTTATGTAGATGTGGTTTTAGATTTATAAGGCTGCATCTCATTAATGGTAATCACCAGGCAGAGATTGTATGACTGCTTCTTTCAACTTTGCATAACTCCCTCGACGTGTCTTCTAAATGTAATTATGTGTCTCAGTTTCTATCTTAAATCTTCACTAAATGTGGAAACCTTTTTAACCTGTGACCTTCTCTATTATCAGGGGTAGCCTAGTGGTTAAAGCGTTCTCTCGTCACGCTGAAAACACAGGTTCGATTCCCCTCCTAGGTACAATGTGTGAATCCCATTTCTGGTGTTTCCCCGCCGTGGAATTGCTGGAATACTGCTAAAAGCGGGGTAAAACCGTACCCTCTCTCTGTTAGGATTCTTTAATATCATTCAGCCCCACGTTTTATTGGGAAGGTTGTTTAACATGGGAGTTTTAAACTTACTATGGGGTGAAAGATTTCTTATCAATTGACCTCAATTTGTACACACCGCCTCAGTAGTCTAGTAGTAGAGCGTCCGCCCGGAGAGTGGAAGGTCCGGGGTTCGATCCCCGGCCACGACATACCAAAAGAAGTTAAAAAATGGAACTTGTTGTTACCCTTTCTGGCGATCGGCATAAAGGGGCTAAAACAAGGACTGGTCGGCTCGGAGTCAGTATCTGAGGGGGTTATTCATGTTTAACTGCGGCATGGTATGTCAGTGAGCTAGCACTATAAATCGGCATCAGTCCGGTCTAGTACAAGCAGCCACACACACACACACACACACACACACACACACACACACACACACATGCACGTCGCTATATAGGTATAATAATCATGGACGCGACGTTAAACCCAATTTCACCTCACCTCAATGTGTACAATTGGACTCAGCTCACTGAACTGCTGCGCATACGAACAGAATTGCGTCATCTCGTTCAAGCGCTTCGTCCTGTAGACGAACGATTGTGTAGGCCATGCGCCGGATTGCCAGAATGTCAAGTCAGCAGCAATGGTTGACCTATTTGGAGGCAACGAACAGCATTGCGGACTGAAAGCTGTTCATATGCAAATTGCTGTGATAAACGTTAGCTTCTGTCAAATGTGAAAAAAACTGACGAATTAATGATGGATTTCAAACATATAAGAAGAACAAAATAACATCTGTCACCATCAATCACGAGTCTGTGGAAGTTATTACGAAATATAAATATTAGGAACATTATATACTAGTATATTAGGAATATTATAAATATTTAGGAACGATTGTTGATACAAAGTTGAACTGGAATATCAACACTTATGCTGTTATTACGAAATGTCAACAGAGATTACAGTCTATGCTTAAATAAAGATATTTTAATGTTTACAAGGGTGTATTGTCTCTCCTTTATCGTTGTTTTGTAGAAAGTTTTCCGTTTTTTTCCATTCAGTGCTGATACAGAGTTATTTATGTTCAAACAAATCACGCTGGAACAAAATCGTTTCAGTAGTTCGTAAGATAGCTGGTGTTCTGTTTGACAGGTTATCTATTTCACACGAAAAGCGTGTTATATCACTGAAAATTATAGGCGACCCCGATCATTTTGTAGACAAAAAAATGCCATTCTAGCTTCTGGCCAGTGACATTTATTACCACGTTTTGAAACAAATAGTTCTTTTATATCTTTTATTCCTTCAAGTATCCGTATCTTAATGACTGTAAATTACTGTACTGTTTTACTCTCTTTGTGTGTCAAGTCAATTATGCATATACTTTCTTGGCATTTTCATAATATTATGTACTAGGACTTGTTGTGGGTAATAAAGTATTGCCGTTGCCATTGTCATATACCGATATTGTCTCTGTTTTAAGGGAGGAATCAATATTGTGACACTGTTTGGCT